TCGCCTCTAAATTAAAAGTTATGTGCTTACCCCACTGTAAAGCCGTTTTTGTGTTTATAATTTAGAAATTACTGCAGCGCTTTAGAAAATACAAAGAATCGAAGTATAGTTACGTCCATTAATGGAAGGAATAGTGTAGACTGAAGTAATTCTGCAGTTTTATGGGGGATATCAGCCAGTTTCACACCGTCTACGGCCGTAGATTCTAATAATTGTGTAAATAAATCTAGTTCTGTCATTAAGTAGCACTTAACTGGGAAAAACAACACTACATTCCTATTTATTGAGGAGCCATTTGTACAGAACGAAAACTGGCCTTTTACCGGACTATTCTAAGACACTTTATTCTGTGTACGTTATTCTATTTTATTCGCTTCAAAAAATGGTGCGCTCAGGTGTAAAATATTTTACGGCCGATTAAATCAGTTTCGATTCGTGTCAAGCACTTTTGGGTTCAAACGAATTAATAACTGGACATTTGGAGTAGGCTGCGCAGTTTTCAATATTGTTGGCTGAGTGCGCCGGTCGCCGACTTATTACTGGATTGGGTGGTGCAACCCGCAAGGAATATGTCGGGATTTCGAGGCAATGAATGTACATCTGGGCTTGCGAAATTAAGCGTATGAGTTTCAGTGCAATCCTCACTAAATACAAGCTCAGTCTAGATATGTTGGCTTGCGAGAGCAAACAACGCCCGTATCGCCGAGGAAATTCATTCAACAAAACCGGAATCAAATAACAAAGAACAAACAGTGCAGTGCAGCCTGATAATTTTCGAAATGGAAGGAAGAAAACCAATCATAAACAACACGACAGAACAATTTTGAAATAGAAGTAACTTATCTTGAACAATAGACCATTTTACAGTTGTCTGCTAAGAGACCTGGCCTTTGGATGGCAGCGAGGCTGGAGTTGATACAGACCTTATTGTTTTTGTCATGTAAATGCACCTAGTTAGCATCAGAACAACTTGTTGTACACAACAAAAGCAGTGAGGTCTGTATCAAGACAAGGTCAACTCCAGCCTCGCTGCCATCCAAAGGCCAGGCAACTGAGCAGACAACTGTAAAATGGTCTATTGTTCAAGATAAGTTACTTCTATTTCAAAATTGTTCTGTCGTGTTGTTTATGATTGGTTTTCTTCCTTCCATTTCGAAAATTATTAGTTTGCGACGGAAAGCTCTTCAACATTTTAACAAAACAAGTAAAACGGCTGCAGTTACACAGTACGATACGCCAGAAGCAATGGCGACGAACCAACTCGAAAATATTAGTACCTGTAATACTCTTTTGTTCGCATTCAAGCCGCATTGAAGACAGCATAACCTTGCTTTTCTGTTTTCACGCACACGTGTTTCATAACAACAAGACCTATCCCATAATACTTGTTACAGGCAGCCACAGGCAGCCCAGCAGACACTACAGTACCCAGTCTACCTGCCGAAGGATTTATATTCCCGGAGGTCTATCACGTGTCATCTCGTTCTCAAAGTGACTGACTGACTGACTGACTAACTGACTGACTGACTAACTGACTGACTGACTAATTAACTGACTGACTCACTAACAATCAAGATTTGCCTGACTTAGTGGTCTGTATGGATAAAATGCATAAGACCACAAAAATTATATGTTCTGTATTCAGTTGTGTTAGGTAATACAAGGGGTATGCTAAGCCAAACCCAAGTTTATTTGTCTGTCTAGTAATCAACAGGTATATCTCCTTCATAGAAATTAGGAGCCTAATAAAAACCTATTTTCCCTTAATTGCCAATAAGTATCCAATTTGGCCAGATTAGAAAAAAACGTTGATTCTTGCTGTGGGTTGCCTTGATTGTTATTTTCCTGTTCAGTTGGCCTGCGTATTTTGCCCCGAAAAGAGCAAAATTCAACCTTAAATTACACTTTTTACGAACGCTAGCGAAATCATAAGCGTGGCTGGAAAAGCAAGCTCATATTACTAATATATCATTTCGTAGCTGTTATTGACTGTTGTCAGATCCGCATGTTATTTAAACCTGAATTATAGGAAAATTTTCAAAATTATACGCTTCGATGATGTTGCGTGAAGTAAAAATGAACGTCAGTTTTGTGGATCAGAAAGTCAATCTGGTACATGGATTCACCTGCCAAAACTATCGTTTTGTGGTTAAAATTATCTCTGAATTAAAGCTTTTACCGGAAATCTGCCTTGGGTAATCGCCTGATTTTCTGTCCTTTCACGCCGTCATCACACCTAAGCTAAACTTGAATATTCTCAAATGATCACGTGAAACCAATTCTTTTGGTGCGTGTTAACTTCAAGTGCTTTATGCCGTGTTATACGGAGTCTATAATGCCATTATACTCTTTTGTCGTCTTCTTTTCATGTACAGTCCACAAGTTTTATCTTCGTGCTGGGCATGCCACAAACGTTCCTGTAATCAATTCAAAGACATAATATTCTCTTTACAGATTAATGATCTGGACTGACGTGGGAACCAATCCGAAGATTGAAAAGGCTTCTCTGAGTGGAAATCAAAGAGTCACCGTCGTCACAACGTTCCTCTATCTGCCAAATGGCATTGAACTTGACAAAGGAGGCAAACGTATATTTTGGGTGGATGCAGGGTATGATAGAGTGGAAACTGTCGACTATAATGGCAACAACAGAAAGATACTTTTTCAGCTAGCTGGCTTACACCCCTATGGCGTTGTCTCGATTGCCCCTTTCCTGTTTTTTACCGATTGGAATACGCATCATGAGGTTCACAAACTGGACGCTACCACTGGAAATGTGCTCCGCAGCTATAGCATCAACGGTGGACAACCTACGGGGATCATAGCATATGACAGCGCCCGACAACCCTCAGGTATTTAAAGGCTCAACCCTGAAGAGAATTTGAAAATTTTTACACGAGTTTTACTTACCGCTTAGTTAGTTTTGAAATTGAAGCCGGAAAGGTAAATTCACCTCTAAAAGGAAAGTGCAACGTGCTCGTCACGCACGATATGCTTGGGACATATGCAGCTTGAGTCCCATTCTCACACACAGGACTGCGCGGCAATCTAAAGGAAGTTGCACGTTTCAGTTTATATAAACACGTCGTATAGATACCACTGTAATAGTGGCAAACAAACATGAACTGTCTAAACTAGATTTAACACGAGGACCTTTTCCGGCTAGCAAGACAGGCTGCCATATTCTTCATGGACTAGATATTCAATTCTCTTTGCGTTCGAGAGTAGCAAGAGTTCAAACAAATTTCGACTCGGTGTCTCCGTGTCTCACCCAAACGAAAAAATCGAAGTTTTCGTGAGTGGTCCACATTTTGACCCTTCCGGATAATTTTTTTGGCAGAGACGAATGAAATTCTCAACTCACATCTATGACGCATGTCACATGTGCTTAACTGTGGAAGCCATCGGCGGTTTACGAATTTATCTTTTTCTCAAATCAGTCATAATGTTATTTTAGAGTCTTATAGCTAACATTTATTTGTGTACTACCTCTGTGTTGTCAACTCGGTCTCGATCGGTTGCGTTTGACGTCAAACAACTCTAGCGTCATGAGAAATGAAACAAATCCTCCGAATAAGATCATAAGTCTTACACCCACCGAGTTATGTAGCTCGACGACGGTAAATTCCAAGATTTGTGGCACACGACATAAAATTGCCGATTTTACGAGTCAAAGGTTTTTAAGGTCATATCCCAAAAACCTTTAGTTATATTTTACTCTTTAGAAGTCAACACCTCGTGCACTTCGAAGCACAAAGCGGCTAAACCATCCCCTTACAGATTGTAACCACACAACACATCGAACGCACTCCCTAACCTATACGATTATTCCTGGTAGTAACTCTTAGTATAAACATAAAAGTTCCCTAAAGACGGTACTGTTAGCTGTAAATAGAAAACAACATAAAGCAACATACGCTGAACTGAGATCTTTTAAGCAATTAAAATCAATGTCTTCTCATTATTCTCCCCTGATTTTATTTAGTAGTCTTAATATGCAGAAACGATAATAATATTAACTATATCTTTGTTATTTAATTAATCTAGTTACATGCATAAGCTATTAATATCCCACCTATAGATTAAGACATGTTATCTGCGGGCCAAATAACATGTAATTTTAAGATATAGGAAAATAAGGATTATTGTGGCATTGTTATTACAAATGTTTAACTCGGGTTTGTTTTTCATACATTTGCATATCTCCAGCACCTTAATGTAACGAAACGTTATACTTGTTATTCAAGCATCAAGTCCTTGTGCGGTAAATAATGGAGGATGCAGTCATTTTTGTGTAACGAAAACGTCAGGTTACGAATGTGTATGTCCCACTGGTTTGACTGTGAAGCAAGACGGCAAGACATGCGAAGATAGTAAGTCATTGAATTTTTCCTTTGATATTGTTTCCATAGCACTTAACTGAAGACCACATAGTCTCGCCTATCCTGTGAGAATGCTCGCAATTTCTCAATGTAAACATTTTGATGAGACTAGGGCGCAAGCTAGATATTTTGTTAGTTGTAGTTGTTGTTGTCTTGTTTTGTCAACAAACCTTGGGACGTACCGGGTGGGGGTACATGCTATTTCCATAATATTTATTCAATGTTTAAAAAGACGATTTAGTCTAAGACGCTAAAATTTTCAATAGCTGTTCATTCATCCTTTAAGGATATCTTGATATGTTAACTGTGTGTCAGTGATTTTTGACTTTGCCGTGGCAATCACCAATTTTAAGCAGGTCTGGCCAAAAATCAACTTTTTTGACGTATTTCCCTATTTTTTTCAAGTTTTCTACACCAAACACTAGAAATTCATGAATGTTTACATTGTGAAAGTATTCTGGCTTGATCTTATATTAGGTCCTGTTATTTCTTGACCTTTCAAACAAATAGTGAAATTCAAGATGACGGATCCAAGATAGCGGGTAAACTGACGTCATTCGACGTCATAGGATGTCATTACAACCAAAAAAGGTGTCATCTTATACGACTTGTAGAGAAAGCTCAGGACCCTGTACTCAATGTAAAGTCATTGCGCTGTGTCTTAAGAGAACGAAAACCCAGGGCAGGGATTCCATCTACTGCGCCCCTCCCCCTCGCACCACGGAGGGGGTTATGAGTTAGCTTGTACGTCCGAGGGTTAATGTTTGCTGCTTTGTATCACTTAACTAATCGCTACCCAAGCAAAATCAAAGTTAAGAATAACGAGCATACAGAGTGAGACTTGCTATTTTGTGATCCAAATTGCAGGAGTGACGAAGTTTATCCTCTTTGCTGACGCCGATGACAAATCCACGAATTTTATTTCACTGGATGTTAACTATTTCGTCTCTCAAACTTTCTTTAACCATCTTGGAAATCAACGCCCTATCGCACTGGACTTTGATCCTGTTGAAAATCGAGTGTACTGGTCAGACGTCGACCATGGACGAATTTTCAGCGCTTTTTCAAACGCAACCTCCTTAAAAACTTTGTTTCACTGTAATGTGCAAACACCCGACGGTTTAGCCATCGACCATGTGGGACGAAATATTTATTGGACTGATACAGGGACCAATAGGATTGAAGTTGGTCGGCTTGATGGCACACGTAGAAGAGTACTAATTAAAGATGGACTTGATGAGCCCAGGGCGATTGTCCTATTTGAGAGAATTGGGTAAATAAAGTTTGCGTGAAATGTGGATTATCAGTATCAGTCATATTCCACGTTGTGATAACTATGTGTCAATAAATTGATTAGGAAGTTCACTGTAACGGCAACGTCCCTAAAAGAGGTTATGTAGTACAGCAGCTTTCCACGTGAGTTATACATCTAAGGACATGTCGTAGCATGTCGAAAGGTAGTTTATCATGTTTCTAAATTGTCGGTTTCATACATTGTATAACTAGCACAGGACTGTCACGGTGAAGCTTTATTAAAGTAATCATGAATAACACCTTTTTTCTTCCTAATCATAAGCAGGTATCTATATTTTAAAAATGTGCATTCTAGCTGTTTTGAATGTTGTGCGTTTCATTTCAGCTATTTCAGGATTTCAAATTTTTTCGTGCGCAGCCATGTGCTTGACGGAAAATTATGACGTCAACGCGCGGTTGGACAATTTTAAAATACAGTATTACATGACTACATCTTAAGAGATTAAAAGCGCTTCTAGTCGTTTATTATTCACATTCGCAAAAAAAAAAAAAAATGATTGTGTTCAGTTCCACGGCAAATCTTCTTCTGAAGACGCCATATTGAGATTTCTGACCACCCATTGACGACATAAATTACCATAAGATAAACATGGCGACGCCCAGGTTATTTAAACTAAAAACTAAATGTTCTGTATTCGAACCACGTAACGAGATATCAATTTAAGACCTCAGGATCAGTTAAAGAGAACCATTTGGTACACTTTCGAACTTGAACTGCTTATCAACCAGGATTTTTCTTAAACTTGAACTCTTACACCTCCAGCTTAAAGATGACTGGAGATCAAAGGATAAGCTAAATTTGTCAATGAAATTGTGATTCTCGACATGGTTTCCCAACATTGCACTTACCAATAGTAGTATATATATGTTTTTCTTTTGCTTCCAGCAAAATGTATTGGACAGACTGGGGCGCCAATCCAAAGATCGAGCACGCTGAGATGGACGGTTCAGCGAGGCAAACCATTATAACTGGAAACCTAGCCTGGCCAAATGGGCTCACTATCGAGCAAGCTACCAATCGCTTGTTTTGGGCTGATGCCAAGCTCGACAAAATTGAATCGTCGGACCTTACGGGAGGAAACAGACAACTTATAATGTCATCCTCAGCTAATATCCATCCTTACGGACTAGCGGTGTATCAGGACATGCTATACTGGACTGATTGGAATACCAAAAGCATTTCACGTTTCAATTTAAGCAGTGGAACCCAGGAAGAAATAGTTAATGGCCTTCATAAACCAATGGACATTCACGTATTTGATCCGTCCTTGATATTTTCAGGTACGTTATTTTATTTTATTTTATTTTTTCAGAAATACGTTGGAGTGAATCTATAAAATTTCCTTTTCTCGTGTCATGGGTGGGACAGTTACTAAGGCGTCGCATGGATGGGATAATTGTTATTTGATTTATCCTAGGCAAGACCCGGAAGATCATTTTACCTTTGTAAACCTTCTCTAACTTGGCTCTAGGAAACTGTCGGCGCGTCCTGAAAAATAATTTGAATGTCATGCGTAAGGGGTGTAATATCTTATTCAGGAAAAGTACTGAGCCGTTTTCACTATATAAACCAGGATAAGATTCGAAGGTGCAGACCACTTTGACTGAGGCTACTTTTCTTCATCTTACCTGACATCTATAAGAGTTTTCATGATATTTAAACTTAGCTTTATACAAAGTTTCAGAAATTTAGACTTTTCCCTGTAGCTATGAACAAAGTCAACTAATTAATGAATGCGCAAAAGGATGGCCATGAAGCAATCGAATTTTCATTTATGAAATCAGTAAAGTATTGATCAGTAGATAACTAATAGTCATATTCTGTTGTTTATCTCAGGGCCTCATAATTGTTCTCTGAAAAATGGACTATGCAGCGATTTCTGCCTTTTGAAGCCGGGCGGATATCAATGTGCTTGTCCGACGGGCGTTGCACTGAAATCGGATGAGAAAAACTGTGACTATGGTAAGGCGTGATTTACTTAAAAACCTCAACCTCCATTAGCATCTTCAATCTAAACGGAATTTAAGATATCGATAGATTGGGCGTGTAAGAAATTTCTTTTGCAGATCGACTTAAACGTACAACAAATGAGAACTTGGTAATACTTTATTCTGCTGTAAAAGTTGGCGAGACGCTGTCCTATAGCTCAATGCTCGTCACTGAAGCAAATTTCCAACTGTTGGATCATATTCCTGGGTGATCCATTCGTTGCACCTAGTTAACGCACTTTTCAAGTTGTGGAAAATCAGATTACATCAGTACACTTTGCTGACAGCAGACGGAAATGTCCTTGTGTGCCTAGAAGCATAAAAAAGCATGCCCATTAGTGCCGGATGTATGACGTTAAGACAAAGATGACACATTTGAATCAGGAAAAGGAAGAATATTCTCTCGTTGGTAGTTCCCACTTGATATAACAGCAACACCAACACACACGTTATTACCAAAATAGAAAAAAGAAAAACCCTCCTATTTAGTACTACAAAAATGATAATTGAAAGAGAAAATCAAGTAAATTCACCCACAATAACTTAAAAAAGCGAGCTGAGTAAGATAAATAGCATTTATATAAAGAAGTTGTTTCGCAGAAACGCTTAAATGTGGGGGATGGGGCAGTGAGGAGACGAAATATTGGAAAAAGAAAAGAACTTTAAATAAGTAGGCGGCGTAAATTATTTAATCTCTAAATAACTAGAAATAAAGTTAATTGGTAATGAATAAGTCACTAGCAAGTGCGAGATGAAATATGATGTATGATAGTAACATGTAAAGCTTAACTTTGTTTTTGAAAATTGGGGGATGTGTTTAAGACGAAATCCAATAGAAATCGAGCAATTTCAAATTGCAGTGGACAAAAACCTAGTTTCAGAATAATTTTGGGTATTTTACAGTCCTTTTTACATTACCATTGGAGTCGTTAGGAATTTTTTTTTTTTTCTTTTTGAGAGGATTTTTAAAACAGTCGCACAGAATTAAATAATTTCGGTACAAGGTTTTTGTCCGCTTGTTACTCGAAGGTGAGGTAGATTCTTTTTTCATACTTTAATGTAAATTATCTTTACAGTTGCAAACTGAATGTTAGATTTGCCATAGTTTGTTTTAATGGTGTTAATATAATAAGTTGATTTTGAAGCAAACCGTAGTATTGTACTGACGAATTGATGATACTGTTTAGGAGAAATCATCAAAGGAAGATGAAAGAAGGTTTGCAAGTGTATAGTACGGCATAAATCTTTCTAGTCAAGGTCGTTTGCTATTATATGTGACGATATTAGCTTAGGATTCTTAACCGTAACCTTTGTTTTCCTTTCTAAAGGAATATTCTACAAAGCAAGTTCAGGGAAGTTCATGATCATCGCTGAAGCGTATGTGGGAGAAATTTACAAGATTCCTCTCGAGGTACCAGAGACCCCTTGCTCTCCACTGGGAATCAACACAAACATATCGCGTCCAGTGGCCGTGGATTACGATCCAGTAGAAGGAAAGGTTTATTGGACAGATGTGACCTTAAAACTGGTAGCCAGAGCATTTCCTAACGGGTCTTCAGTTGAAGTGATCGCGCACAATAATGTTGAGACTCCCGATGGGCTTGCAGTGGATTATGTTGGACGAAATCTTTATTGGACCGACCAGGGAACTAGTAAAATTGAGGTGGCACGGTTGGATGGGTCATTCAGGAGGAGTCTTATAATAACAAGTATTGGATATCCAAGAGCCATAATACTCGATATTGCGGAAAGGTAATCAAGAAGTCCGGTAGTCAGCAGTGATAGATACACCTCGCAGCACAACAATATTACTGTTACTTCGTCGGACTTTTGAAAAATTTCGGAAGTATTCAAGTATCTTGGGTAAAAATCGGAAAGATTCGGCAATATTCGTAACTCTTTACGAAAGGGAACTTGCGTCCGGGTAATCTTTTCTCTCAGTTCGTAAGAGACTTTCGAAAGATAATATTTATCCCCATACAATTTTCTATTTCCGTATCTTTCAGTCAAAGTTTAATGTTGTTCTACACAAACTGTTACTTTAGAAAGATGTACTGGAGTGACTGGGGATCATCGCCAAAGATTGAACAAGCCAACATGGACGGTTCTGCCAGGAAAACTCTTGTTAGTTCCGGACTAACGTGGGTGAACTCGCTCGCTATGGATTACCAAAATAGATTGCTGTACTGGTGCGATGCGAGCCTTGATAAAATTGAGAGGGTGGACTTACAAGGAAATAATCGCGTGTTAATACTAGATTTATCATTGGATTCTATGCACCCATTTGGACTGGCTCTATTTGGCGATGCTCTCTTCTGGTCTGACTGGCATAATCAAAGCGTTCACAAGTACAACATGACAACTTCTCGAAATGAGGTCGTTTTTGGCGGAATGGGACAACCAATGGAACTATACATTTATGATCAAGCCAGAGACTTTTTTGGTTAGCATTACATTTTTTGTCAATTGATTTGATTTTCCAGAAACGCGGGTTGATCTCGGTCTTAGTCTACGCAACTGTAAAACTGATTTTTTTTTTTTTTCTGGCAATTTCATGGTGGCCTGAGTCCTAACCAGCCACTTACAGATGCGTAATAGAGACAACAAATTAAACTAACAATAGACATCATTAAAATTATGTACTGAACATTGATTACTCTGGCAACCACGAAGTCGCCAAAACAATTCTCTTCACTGTCTTTCATCATTTGCAAAGTCAACTCGATCAGTAATCACTTTATCCTGTAGTATAAATTTGTAAGAAGCTGGAGACAACCTTGTATACAAACAAATCGTAGGCTGACTGAATGAGGCAAGCAGTGCTAAAAAATAAAACAAACATTGCTCCACTTTGCCGCAAAAGCTGTTATTCCCTGAATCGTACTTTGACATGAATTGCACGATCTTAATTAGTTTTGCTTGTAACGCCCTAATCATAACTTGAAAAGAGGAACCTCCAACATCACCTCTTGTTTGATAATCCAGATTAAATTGTCTCTTAATTAATTACATATGCAATACAATATTAATTAACGAAATAACTCTTCCTCGCCTTAAAGGATCCACCAGTTGTTCGCAGTTGAATGGAGGATGCAGTAATCTATGTCTTCCAAATCCTCAAGGCCATCAATGCTTTTGTCCAGAGGGAGTAGAGCTGAAGCCTGGTGATGCCTATACTTGCCAAGGAGGTAGTTACGACTTTGTTGTAACAGTTTTAAAAAGTTGGAATTCCGTTAATGTTTACTTATTTTCCAAGGAAAATATAAATAAGTATTCTATCGGTAAATTATCAGTTTCATGGAAACGAAAGAGAAGTTAGTATACTCAGATTTTACAAGGGCAAAAATGGTAATACTCCATACCTAAGATGAGATTTTCTGAGTTTTTAAGAGCACTGTGTACGAGATTAACGAGAGAGTGTGAGAGAGCCTACGTTAGCGTAAATGGTTGATATTAGTAGGGTAAAGCAGCTGAAATTGGCTTCGTCTTGGCGCTAAAATAGGGACAGCGGGATGGGAGGTAGGGGTGGGGCGAGGGCTAGAGATACAGTCCACAGCCATCATCTATTGTAATGCGCTTCAGATCATTGTATGTTAAAAAGCGCAATAAAAATTAAGAATCAATTGAATTAAATTAAATTTGCACCCCCCAAAAAAATCCCTCATTCGTGGGGTAAAGCAGCTGAAACTGTACTTAATGCCGTCTTTATCGTCTTCATTATAATATTGGCCTCATACTTGTAGAAGCGATCGGTTAGCTAGGAAACAACGATGGAGAGGGTTGGGGGCGAGAGCTAGGGATATGGTCCACGATCATCCACTGTCATTTGCACGGACCCTAATAGCAACCAGCACCTTCAATGATTTAGACTTTATCATTTTGTTTATGACAGTAAATCGCTGTCCTCAGTTGGGTGCACCAGCCCACGGAAGCTTAGCGCCCTGTACCAATTTGCCAGGACACAGCTGTTACTTTTCCTGTGACAGTGGGTACAACCTAACTGGGTCAGCAACACGGACATGCAACAGCCATGGAGTATGGACTGGGACGCAGCCTCAGTGTAATGGTAAAATGCTAAAGCAACTCTTCTTTTAAGCGAAGTGACCAACCCTGTGTTTTTCAAGGTGACAAAAACAATGTTTATCCCCGCATAAAATCTTGGAAAGCATTTTTAACAGAATTGATATAAGTTTTAAAGAAACCACAGGACAGTTTTAAATGACAAAACATGTTAATTTCGGATGTGAAACATATTTTGCCATTAAAAGACTGACGTTTGCTCTCTTAGCTAGAATGCATCTATAACACTACCGGGAAAAAAAAAAAAAAAACCTAAAAGGTTTTTTTAGATTTTTCGTATCTATCATTATGTCTACATTTATTTGCTACTGTTGGACATCTACTACTATGGAATTTACGTACTTGAGCCGAGTATTACGTCCACTGAACGTAAAGGGCCGCTCTCATGTGGCTTTGATAGCTCAGTTGGGAGAGCATTGCACCGGTATCGCAATGGGCGTGGGTTCGAATCCCGTTCAAAGCCTGAAATTTTTTCAGATCTCTTTTCCAGTAGTGTAATGGCCGCATTCGCATCTATCATCATGTCTTCATTTAAATATAATTCCTTTCGAAATGATAAGTGTTTCTATTACGTTTTAAGCTATCATCCATGCGCCTTTGAGCATCCCTCCAAGAACCATTCTGCTAACTGTTTCATGTGGCATTGCGATCGGATCAAATTGCGTATTTGGCTGTCAAAGTGGATATGGTAACAGCCAAGGAAATGCGACCAGAACGTGTTTGCAGAATGGGCAATGGAGTGGAATCCTATTAGCTGTACAGGTGCAAGTGAATCGTCTTTGAAGACCCCGTGACCGAGTGGTTTAGGGAGCTGGATTTGAAACCAGGAGACTCCTGGTTCAAATACTCCACCCTAGGCCTAGGGTGGAGTTCATAAGTGCAGTCACGGAGACATAATCACAGACAGACGAACAGAAAGACAGACAGACAGA